CGGACAAAAGGAGAAGATGATAAAAAAATTATAAAAATTATTGGTAAGAGTTTAAAATTAAATGTTAGTTATAAATTCTATTCCCTTGATACTTTAGACACAAAGACACATAATTTTCGTAAAAGTTATTTTGTTATTTTTTTTTTTAATGGAAAAAAATTGGGAAGAACAGATAGTGAGAGTGAGAGACAAGACGGTGGGTGTGGGAGAAGTAAGCATAGGCAATGGAGCTATTAAAATAAATTATTAAAATTCAATAAAAATGAGTCCTTGAATTTCTCTTGCATTTGAACTAAAGCAAAATGTGCATAATTAAAATTAAATAATAAAAACCATTAAATGGGGTCAGCAGAGTAATTAAAACAAATGATTTTCCCAAAGTAAAATATGCATAATTAAAATAAAATAACAAACGAATGCTTGATGCCAAGCTTATTAAATAAAATATAATAAATGAAGGGTATTTTTGAACCATAGTTAAGCCCCTGTTTGATGGTAATCATTAAGAAAAAATGATGTTTTGATTAATGATTTTTGGATATTGTGTGGTTAAAAAATAAAGAAAATATTTTTATTTACGTGTGAAATATTTTATTATATGAATGTGTAGTTGAAAATGAGCCCCCGTTTGGTGCACTTTTAAAATATTGTATATGTTTCTTTTTCTAATAATCTAAAAATTTAAATATATAAAATATTATTTTCAAAATACATTTTTCTCTCATTTTCAATCACACATTCTTCACTAAAACAATATTACATGCAAACTCAAAAATTTTCCTTATTTTTTAACAACACGTTCTCCATTAATTTACTATTCCAAAATACATTCTTAGATAATAATGGGACTCAAACAAACTCTATATGTTTATCCATTCGCGATAATTGGTATACGCCTATCAAACTTTTGGTTGAAGAAAAAATATGACTTGATGAAATGTGATGAAAATAATATTTACATACGTACATTATTAGAATCCCACATTAGCTGGTGATATTTACAAGATCCACTTAATAAGGTAAGGGCAATCCTCTCCTAATAAGGCGGTTTTGTTAGGTTGAGTTAGGTCCAATATCCTTTCTAATATACATGTCTTTTATAATTTTAATTCAAATTTGGTAGTGGACATTAATAATATATAGTTAATCACCTTTATATTCCATTCATGAATATTGAAAATTCATTGGCAGCACCTATGAAAAAGAAAGTGACAAGTCACGACCATGTTTCCATGATTGGTTCCACCTCGAAAGGATAAGGTTAATTATGGATTAATTATTACAAAGTCAAATCTGAAAATGGGTTTATATTTTTTAATCTTAAATCATTAATCTTTCAGATAGAGACACCTTTTAGTGAGAAGGAAAAGTGGTTTGTCCGTTTACAACTACTGTTGTCGTGCCTGATGTTTTTTATCAATCTTTTTGGCATATGATGTCTGACCTTGGACATGCTGAATAGATATAGAGGTTTTCAGATCTCATTTCTTAGCTTTTTTGCTCATTTGTCTCTTTAACACTTTCATGTACATCATTCAACTAATAGTTTCATCACAAATAGGAAATACAGAATTTCACTTATTTGACAGAATGTACCATGTTGTGAAGGAATTCTGTAAGAAATAAAGTGACAATCTGATATTGCAATTTGCAAGTCATCAAATTGTTATGAACTTCTAGTATGACATCAAGAAATAGGGCCATTGCTGAGGCCGTGCAAGAGGTGCGACCGTACAAATCTTCATAACTATAGGGGCATCAATGTGTTATATATATTTATATTTTTTGTTTAATTTTAAGAACTACATTTAAAAGGAATTCTTTTACGGTTGTCCAACCCATCAAACATGTCCCATTTAAATCGATACCCAATGAATAAGCAAAAAGAAATTTTTGATACATACAATAAAATATTGAAAATTGTTATTCGAATATAACCAATAAATAAGCAAAAGGAAAATAGTGGTACGTAAAAATATTTGTAAGTTTTCCACTCTTACGAAGTACCTCTCCGAAAATTTACTCTCTCCATTTGGGAAGAAAATCACATTTATTCTCAAAATTGATCTCAAAATCATTAACACAATTATTTTCTATCTTCCGCAAATCCCACCTCACCAAAATATTCCAAGAAAAGAGAGAATAAGCTCAACGCGAATATGATAAATATTGTTATTATAAACCCTCGTTTGATGGCCATTATTTTGAAAAAAATAAAATAAAATTGAATAGTGACTTTTTAAAAAATGTGTGGATAAAAAGTTAGAAAAAGTTTAGAATTTACATGCAAAATATTTTAATATGTAAATATATGGTTAAAGATGAGTATGAGAATTAAAGAGTTTTGTTTGAAAGGGAGACAAATATGGGCTAAGTTGCATATTCTTACTTGAATTCTTCCCACGATCCTTCTCTACCTAGTCAGACTAAGATAATAACAAAAATGAACTAAGGTAATATTCTAATTTTTTGCATTATTATTGAATTTTGATTAAGGTTTTGGGTTTGAACTTTTTCGGACTATAATTTATAGCAATAACTCCAGAATTGAGGGAATCATTGAAGATTGTTATAGAGTTGGGTAATGATTATTTTTTCAGCAAAATGAATGTATAGTTATTGGAATATTCTCATGCATTTTGATTGAATTTTTGTAAAGAAAGTGATCTTTTGAAAGCTAATATGATTGAGTATATCTCAGATGTTTTGGTTGAAAAGAAGAATATCAAATGCTTTCCAAAAAATCAGCATGAAAAATTGAGTTTTATTAGAATTAACCTATAAGGGTAGGGGTGGATCCAGTAATTTATTCCAATAGGGGATTTTCAATAAATTTGTCAAAATATGAAAAATATTTGTTTAGTTATAAAATGCTGAACTTACAATGTCTATTTTTAATTTTGATAAGTTCATTTCAAGTACACCTTCAACAATACATATTTCTTCATTTTAGTTTAAAGTTTTGATATTCAATTATTATTTGAAGGGCTTAAATGAATTTATAATTATATTTATCCAATTATATCATATATATGATTGATGAGTAACATGCAATTATTTGTTGGTCCTGGAGTATTTAAATAAGCATAATAAGCTTGATTCTCCCTCCTTTTCAGCTGCATACTTTGCTTGATGAGTTTCTTGACTCTACAATTTGCATATGTCAAAGTTCTCAAAATTGTAGTATTGTGACTTTCCTTTCCCAATTTTCAACATGGCTTCTCTTTTTACATATTTTGTACTATTGAGTGACCCGTCTGTTGAGAATTAGAAATCATAATTCTACTGTCAACCCCACAACAACAATAATTAAGCATCATAACTTACACATTCTTCACTAAACTACCTCTAAAAGTTGATTCCATTGTTACCTCTTGGATTTATTCCACTTCCTCTTCCGACGATTGACACAACAAAATTTAGTGGTTGTTTTTCATTGCTTTTGGATCCAACATTGAGCCGAGATTGAAATGCAATCTCAAACAACTTAAGAATGGTGCGTCAATCTTTGCTCTTGTTATTTTAGAGAACCCATCTTATCAATTCATCAACACTCAATTTCAAAATGTATTTTGTTTCTTCCATCACAAGGATCAATAATCAATTTTTGAAAGACTAATAAAAAATTTCACCACAATATCTATATTAGAAAATTTCAGCATCATATAATTTCATCTTATTAACCAGCTCTTCGAATCTATCTCAATACTCTTTTATGGTCTCATTTTCCTTCATTTAACATTCTAAAATTCTGTTATAAGATATTGAAGTTTAATATTTCCCACCTTTGAATCTCTTAGGAATTCATTTTGTAGAGTCTTCCAACCATCTTTCACTGTTGTTACTCTCTATAAGCAATGTATTGTAAAGGAGAAAGAACGTCTATAACTTACATTACCCTAAAGATTGAAAGCACCAAAAAGTGCGACGGAGACCCTAAACATCATGCCAAAAGAGAGGCCAGAGAGATTTTTGCGACTTTCAATAAGTTTGTTTTAGATGCTTATCGCACTTCAATGTAGTCATGGTCACATTTCGACAATATTCATCCTTAGTCTATGCATAGCGTAAAAAATATGAACTATTACCATGTTTGGAATCTTATGAATTTATTGATGTTTCTATTAGGGTCTCACATTGGTTGGTGATATTTACAAGATCCACTTAATAAGGTAAGAACAATCCTCCCCTAACAAGCCAATTTTGTTAGGTTAAGTTAGGCTCAATATCCTTTCTAATATGGTATCAGATCAGGTTCAGTTTTAAAATGTTAGGTGCCCCCAATATCGATTTGTTCACAGTGTTTGGGGTGGTCTACGCTGTACGTGAGGAGGCATCTTAGAGTCCCACATTGTCTGGTGATATTTACAAGATTCATTTTAAAGGTGAGGGCAATCCTCCTCTAACAAGTCGGTTTTATTAGGTTGAGTTATGTGCAATATCCTTTCTAGTATGGTAGCATATCGATCAGGAGAATAAAAAGAAGAAAAACTTAAATTAAAGTACAAGATTATGAAGCGAGGTATGCCGTTGTTAATTTCCTTAAAACCGATTTTGACCCTGCACTCGATGCTATCAGGTTTTTATGGACATTTATCTCCCCAACATAAAAGACTTCTTTCAAGATTAAAATATCACAACACAATTTGATTTTATCTTCCGTGCCAGTCGAAATTATGCAAAGAAGACGTGAAATCATTGGCCTACATGAACCAAGGGAACATTGATCGTTTGATATAGCCTTGTCCATTTTACACCCCTAATTACTACTTACTCGTTACGATATTGAATCTTCGATTATAATAGAATTTTCATCAAATAGCTAGGCAACTTTCCATGCCAAAAGTAATCAGTTTGTTTACAATTCTAACATCACATGAATTTCTTATTACCCAATTACATGACAAATATGGAATCAAATTCAAAATACATGTATCAAACAATGTTTTTTCTCTCTATCATTAATGAATCAATTGCCTCTATAAATATTCTCACCATCTTCAGCTGAAGAGTGCTGTATAGAGTAGCTCATTCCAAGTATCTGGCAACCCAGGAAGGCACCAGTGGCTACAATCCAAGCCATTGTGCTTACTATAGTATGTTGGATGAGCATCCTTTCTATATTGGGATAGTAATGTTATGTCCAATAAATAAACGGGTTTCTTGATTCTGCTCAACACTTTGTTCACCACAATTGCAGATAATGGTGTGCCTGCTGGATATTTTATCCCAAAGAATGGTTGTGTCTCACTACTGCATGACTTTCTTGGCTCATTCCAATCCTTGCCCCTTTTTGAAACACAAGAAAGGGATTGAGGAAAAAAGAAACGTGACAACATTTGACAATTGTCATGTCTAAATATGTTCAGTTCAATGTACAAAATATGTTATGATGGAACTGATTCAAACAAACAATTCTTATATATTTTTATCTTAATCTTTTTCAATCAGCATGCTAAACATGATGTGACGCAGCATAGAACTACTTACTCGTAGTGTACAGGGGAAATTCCTTGGAAAAAGACTTTGGTTTTGGAAGGATCAACATTTCGGTTGACCCATCTAGCCCATGTGGTTAACCCTTTGTAGTAAGCAATTAGACGGTTCATGTCTTTGTATAATTTACCTCCCTCTTCCATGTAATTCCATCTGTAATAGAGATTCAATCCATTGATTATAGGATAAGTATTATGCTATTAATTTTTCTATCAAATTTACTTTTAAAGAAAATAATAAATGTTAATCTTACGGTTGAGAACTTTTGGTATGAGTCCACCAATGCCAAGTGTTGAAGATCAACATATCCATTCCTAGCCACGCATCCCCGTTTCGGATGGAGTCAAGCTTCAAAACCCGACCCACATTCTGCCTCTCCAAGTCTACTAGGTACGGTGTACGATATAATAGTAATTGCACTCCATAATCCTGAAGGAAAAAAAATAAATAAATAAACAAACAACAAGAATTGTTATCTGTAAGAACTCGCAACACCCTCAGCCTATTCAGGGTCAAAAGAATGAGATCCAAGGCTGACTTCAATTAGTTAAATATACAAAACTTCAATCTTCTCAACCTATTACTTTGATTAAGTGGATGAGTTTGTTAATATATTTATTGTCTCATTGATGCTGCCTCTGCAATTACTTTGATTAAGTGGCTGAGTTTCTTCATATATTTATTGTCTCATTGATGCTGCCTCTGCACCACTTCAGTTCAATGCAAACCAAATTGATTCAAATTCAGACTGGGGACCTTATAACTTTAACCAACTAGGAACATGACAGTAAATAAGTGAACTGAAGTAAATCTCAAGAAACAGAAGCCTAAGTTGTCGCACGTTTTTGTATGAAAGAGAAAGACCACTTATTTTTTATCACATCTCAATACACATGTGACATGTGCAAATGCGCTATGCTTATTACTAAGAGTTGTCAAAGTTAAAGGCGTGTTAAGTTAATTGATTGGGATGCGATTAAACAAAATTATAGTAGAAAAGTACATCTAAGGCTAGTGCATACAAAAATGTCATTAGGTTCGTTACCATCCTAACTCACTAGGCTTGAGCAGGGGCGGATCCAAGAAGGAAGTTCAGTGGGGGAAAAAATTTCAAAACCTAAAAAATCAGGACAAAAAAACTAAAAAAATCTGAAAACCTGAAGAAAAATCGAGAAATTTGAAAATTGGGTGGGGGCGATGGCCCCCATTGGTCCTCAAGTAGGTCCGCCCCTAGGCTCGAGGTTGCTTATATAAATAAGAAAAAAGGAAAAGAAAAATCCTTTTAAAAATATATTTAATGGCCGGCTTGGCTCAACACAGCTCAGACTACCCAAATCATGTTAGGTCTCTTATTTTTCTACATGATTCATTCTTACTACGTATCTAATAAATGCAAAGGTGGGTCGGTGGAACCACTTTTGTGGTGTGGTCCAAGTGTTACGAATTAGAATATATGGACAAAGACAGCTGTACAGCTCTGCCCATGGAGTTTAGGTGAGTTGTTACAATTATTTGATTAAGTGGTCCACCTACCATGACTCGGCCCATGCTCACTATTAGTGCTGGCAAACGGGTCGAGCAACTTGTCAGTTCGTGGGCGAGGGCTCATTTTAATGAAGGGTTAATTTTTCATTTTATTTTTTTTAAAAAAAAAGTTTATCTTAAAAATAATAATAATAAATTTTACGAGCTCGCGAGCCGAAGTTCGCCTGGACCCACGAGTAACGAGCAAAATAGAAGCTCATCTCGTTATAAACGAGCCACGAGCTCGGCTCATGACGAGCACGGGCCGAGCTCATGTGCATACGGGCCAAGTCAGCTCGACTCGATCTATTGACATCTCTACTTAGTATGATTCATGAAAGGTCCCATATCTTTTTATACAAAATAATTTAGTACAACTCGTCAAAAAATACGAGAGAAGCCAATTATCTAAATGAAGGTGAATCAAGTCACGTATCGATAGTTTTATTGAATTTGTAACATGTTAGAATAAAAGGACGAATTGAAGAGGCTTTGTCTAGTTAATATTTAGCTGTCTTCATCATCCATATAGAGGGACAAAAAATATTAATTAATCCCTAAAAAGTCTCTGTCTTTTGAATTTCAGTGAGTTGTTGCACAAATTACGTTATCTCGATGATTACTTCTCCAATTACGTGATTTTGCAATCAACTTTTTCCGACCTTGTAATAATGATGTTTTGTTCCCTTCGACGACTTCCTCATATTTCTAGAAGACCCCACCTCATTTTGCTTTCCCAGTTTTAGAATATGAAAAGAACATTTGATATTTGAACCAAATGAGAACAAGAAAACATAAAAGAATTTGCCAGTAGTACTTCAATTATGTATAGTTCAATATTTTAAGTGGGTGTTTGGTCGAAATTAAAATTAAATTTTTAATAGATTGCGATAAAAAATTTTGAAATGTATGGTTGAAAAATTGTAAGACTCATAAAAGATGTAAGTAACATTGATTGTTTGACATTCACTTAGATTAAAATATAATTTTAATCCGAAACAAACAGGACCTAAAGGTACAAACGTGGTTTTGAGCAACATAATATAGTGAGAGAGAAAACACCGATAGTCGACTATTAAGTAAAATATTTTATGGGAAAGACTTCTACGTCGACTATTAAGTAAATTGCACGTATCATTTCGAAGCAAAAGAAAGTTTGATCGATTAACACCATGTACTTTTTTCTTGTTTGAGTTATTGACGAGCTATCCTTCTTCATATTCGATACAATTTTTCAATGTAAAAAAGAAAAAGCAATGTCTACCCGTTAGCAAAAGTGATTCAGAAAAGTCACCTAACACTTCCAAACGTAGAACATTCGTCACCACAAATTAAAACCAAACTCTTTAGTCCAAATGCTCTTTTGCTTAATTCTTAAAACCTTCAATCAATTTCTCTATATCAAAATCTAATGTGGTGAAACTTGAAGAGTTAAAAGATTTTATCAACATTTTTGGTCTGAATTATTGAGAAAGCAATCACTTGTGACCCCAAAATTGATGGAAATAAGCATAATTGTGGAACATTAGCTAAGATAAATAAGTGGGAAAATGACAACACATGCATGCACTATACAAAGTCATCATTTATTATCAAGTCCCCATCTGGCACAACTAAAAAGTTAAATTAAAATCTAAGTCGAATTCAACAATTAATTTTAGCGACGAGTGCATTTCATTGAATCCACAATTTTTAATAACATATTTCATCAATTTTTATCGAGCTAAATTAGCAAACTACGGCCACCCCCATCCCACCTACCAAGCCAAAAAATGTAAAAAAAATGCATGGCGAAAATTGTAATTGAAACTTACCAGGAATGTAACTTGAGAAATTACTTCTCCTCTTACGACTGCAGTTTTTGCATTTGGTACCCATGAATGAATCATGCAACTCAATGACTGCCACATGTTCAGACTCAGTGAGTCACCTACGAACATTATCTTCTTCCCTCTCCATCTCTCCAAGAATTTCACCCCATTAAACCTGCAACACAACCCAATTCAAATATATAAACACATACGCATAACCTGTGTGTTACGTGTGCATATAGGAATAGGATCGTCCCAATGAAGTTTTCTGACCTTTGGAGGTTACACGAGAAAGGCTGCCATCTATATTTGAGGTAAGTTTGGTCAGGTCTTTTGTACTTTTGGCAATTAAATTCATCATCTATGAAGGGACATTTGGAGAAATCATAAAGAGGATATGATGCATCATATACCCATTTGCCTCGAAAAATATTGCAGCCACTAGCAAGCTTACGAGCGGTGGCGCTGGTGGCATTCAGGCCGAGCTCAGCCTCATGCTCAGCCTTTATAAGGTGTAGTAAAAACAAGAAGAAGGCAGCTGAGAGGAACAGGGGTTTCAACAGAAACACCATTTCTTGGATTCCGATCCAGGAAAAATTAAAGTAAAGGAACAACTTTTGAACTTATGAACAATGTAATAATATGATAAATGCTTTATAGAATGCAGAGTGTACACCAAACTTACGTGCTAGAGAGAGAAAGAATGTATTGAGTTATCGTAGCATATGGGGTTGAATTGATTCCCTTTTTTCATTCAAATAAGTGGAATATTTTCTATAATAATATAATATAATATACCACTTGTTCACATTATCTTATATGGAAGATGCTTCGAACCGCCCCCCACCGCCCAGCTCCTAGAGTATTGTGGAGGAGGTAAATTGCGGAATGTGACTCAACAGGTCAGGGTACAAAAACTAACATACTGGTACCTACAAAGAGTCCAATTATATACCTTGTAGGAGGCAGAAATCGAACTTTCATACTTCGACTGTCAACTCAACTGAAACTATCTCACTCATATCCTTTGCACCACTGAGCTATGCCCCAAGGGGCCACATAATGGATCTAGAAAGCAGGGGCGGACCCAAGGGGGGTCCTGGGGGGCAGGTGCCCCCCTAACTTTTGAGATTCCTTTTTTTTTTTTTTTAATTACGTTAGTTATCAACTGAAATTTAAATTTTAATCTAAATCAAAGTTAACAATCAATTTTAATAACATATTTCATGGAATNGGATGTAAAATTACATGGAGTATGATTTTTTTAGACGTAAGTTTTTTATTGTAAAATTTCTACCAACTTATTTCTAAGTTCGATTGTGCCCCGCCTCCCCCCCTCCCCCAACGTTAAAGTTCTGCGTCCGCCCCTATTAGAAAGTATATTAAATAGTGGTAATGAAGGATGAAAGCGATATTAATTAATTAATATTGTGAAAAAATATTTAACTCTTTATTTTCTTTAATGTTGTTCTGTGTTAGTCCATTTAATTCTATAACATGCCATGAATGCATATTTTGTATAGAGAATTAGATAGTAATTTATCGTATTAACTATTACGAGAAAAAATAACCATACTCTTTAGTTCTATCTATATACAAACATGAACTAAGGTAACATTTTATACTTTATGCAGAAAACAACAATTAATCAAATATTAATTTCAGTAAAGTTAAAATCAATCACGTAATGCTTTTTTCAATCGGCTCAAAAACTTGTAAAAATTTGACCATAGGAAAAATTTTGGATGTGAGCATTCAGTGCGGAAAAAAAAAAAAAGATCCGATTGAGAATTTACTTGATACATGATAATACTTGTTTATGTGGAATTGGTGGTTTATTTTTTATTTTTTGTTTAAGTTTTTATAAATTTGGTTACACATGTATTATCATGTTTTATTTATATCACGTCTTAGTCTTATCAAGACTTAATCCATGTGTGTCACCAAGTTTGTCTATGCAACGTGTTGTACATGGGTTTGTTCTAAGGGTTCTTTTCCTTGTGTGTTTTGGTGCTCCTTTGATTTAAACTTTAATCAGTAATTTTCAAGAAAAGTTTGTCCAAATCTTCACTTTCTGATTGTATTGTGATATATATCGTAATGTTATCGTAATATAGGGGCGGCCAAAAACCTCCCCGGCTCGGGCTCGGTCCCGGTCCCGAAAAAGCCCGAGTGGGACCCGGCTGGGTTCCGTTGAGCAGAGGCTCGGGCATGGCCCGTGGCTTTGAGGCTCGTCACCAGCCCATGACTAAGTAATATTTAAAAAAATTAAATATATTTTTTTATATATCAATATTTATTTGTTATTTATAACACTCATAAATTGCACAAATTTTAAATACATTACAAAAAATTATAGATTTATAACGAATTTTAAAAAAAAACATGAGTCGGTTCGGCCCGTTAAGCCTCGAGCCAAAAGCTCGGGTTGATCCTCATTTTTTTTTTGCCGAGCTTTTACTTGGCTCGGTTCATTGGCACGTAATATATTTAATGCAATATATTCCTAACCCCCTTTAGCATGCTTTATACAGCATGCAAAGTAGGTTTGCTACTTGTGTGTTGTGCTCTCTATACATTGATGAAAGTGTTAAGGATATCAGAAAATCTTGGACGGATAAGATTGTCAAATTCAAACCAAATGATAAATACAAAGTCGTTAATTTGTTATTTGATAGTTGTTATCTTTTTTTTTTTTTTGGATAAACACTAGTTGCAACTAGAGCTTATTTTAATGTAAATAGGAATAAACGTGTGCTAAATGCTCATAACATACGGTCATCAGTCAATAATATTATAATTAAATATTTTATTCATTTTTAAAATTATTTTCATATTTTCTCCTGTTACTAGTCCGACTCTTACCGTAATTTTGACTTCATGATCGCCGTGTTCATTAAATCAAGTCAAATAGTCTAGTGATACCACATTTGACAGCTTGAATGAGCTAAGTGGCATATGCCATTTCAAGCACTCGAGCAAAAATATTGAAGAAGATAGACAATAAAATTCAAGAATTGTCACGTTTAATGTAATATTTGTTCTGATCAATTGAGAATGGCCGACAGCATGTGGTGGCATGGACATCTTCCACGTGCCTTGATAAGTACCCAATTGGATAAATTGCAAACAGATATTAAAAGCAAGAGTTTAAAAACTTCAGAAAATAGTATAATTCTTAAATAAAGTTCAAATATGGATTTTATATCACACTTTGAAATTATCATTAATAAAAGTCAAATTGAATAAAGAGACAAAATTTATAGGTGTCAAAACAGAGTCAATAATTTATATAAACATAAATGAAAAAAATTAAATTTTTATTTCTGATAAGTTTTAAGAGTTATTTTAGCATAATATGTGCTTAAAGTAAGTTTTTATGTTCGAGTTTTTAAAATAGTAAATACTTTGTGTAATTGAATTGAACATGTCGAGTACTACGTATGGCTGCTACTCTGCAAAAAAAGTGGGATTTGCAAGTGGACATGGACAAGTGTGATGTTTTAAGTTTTGTCGCAAGTGTGCTAGTAATCTAGCACATAATGGTTTGTCGAAGCATTACCTATGGGCCTCCTCTTTGCAAGAAAGGGGATTTGCATGTGGAAGGTGGCGACATTGTGACATTGTTAAAAGGGATGTAGTTCGTGGTATTTTGTACTTGAAAATGGAAATAAAGTGATTCACCTCTTATCAGAAGTGATCTACCTTAATAAATCGAGATTTAAAGGAATGAGTATTCATAAATACGTTATTTTTAAATGAAATAGCCGTACGGGAACACTCTAATGTATTAAAAGAAATAAATTGAGTGCACTTTTTTTTTCTTTTTTCTTTTTAAGGTCATTTTCGAGGTCATTGGTCTCCACTCTAAAAAGTATGAATTATATTCATAACAGAAATAATTGCCCCAAACAAGTGGAAATATCAAAGTTGATTGATTGTGACCTGTCCTTATGATTTAGAAATCATGCTTAATTTCAGTGTTAAGATAACAAAATGGATTTTGTGCTCACAATTTTGAAAGCGAAACTTCAAATACATTTCGATAAGGTATAATTACATTAATCGTCAATCGATATAATTTAATATGAGACGTGGATCGTATATCAATAAATTGATTAATACGTGTAATATGAGAAGAGATATCAGATATGCGTGTATTGACACACTGTACATCTTCGTGTTCAATCAAACTCTAACACGGAATTCCTGTTTGAGTCCCATTATATAAAATGAAAAATATAAAAAATACAAAACAAATTAAAAAAAGTGATGGCTTTGGCTTTTGGTATGGTGATTGGGTGGTTAATGTAGGGCATGCCCTTATTTTTAGTTATTTGTCCTAAGAATAAAAACAATAGCATCCCCACTTAAAGCCTAAGAATGGGCACTTCCAAGGCGGCCCTCTAAATTAATTAATCTCAAGTTGACATCATTGTTCTTGAGGCCTACGCCAAACATTAATGTTTGCGTGATTTTCAATCAGTTGCTAAAAAATAATTGTTAAAGAGTGTGATATGATTCGACACTTGGATTCTTGTTTTTTCTTTGAAGGGATGTGATTGATTTGAAAAATGATTATTTTTTTTAATTTAAATGAAAATAAAGAATTTATAAAGTTTTAATCATTTTTGGTTAAATTTTATGAAATTATTTGTGGGTTTCTTTTGTATTTATAATTTGTCATTTTCCAAAACGATTGCATTTTTATCCCACTTGAAATTTTAAAGCCTTCATTTTATTATTATTATTATTATTATTATTATTATTATTATTCATGTTCCTCAATTTTAATCTACTAAATAGTTAAAATTAATTGTTGATTTTCATTTGGATTATAATCTTAATTTTAATCCTACCTGACAATGGCTTAGCCCATGTTTGTCTCTTATTCAGTTATTCTTTGAATTTTTTTCCTATATATTCATTTTCAACTACATTCACACGATAAAATATTTTATATTTTAAAACCTTCTCGAATGTGATAATCTATCTATAGGGGAATCGACCCCAACAGGGAAAAGGGGGTGAATCAATCCTCATGATACGAGTAAGGGCTATGATGCTAATTAGAGAAGATAGAAATGCTATAGTTTATCGTTTTCTATCGTTCTAATACACAATATAGTTTGAACATTATGAAGATTTCAAGGGTTTTAATGAGCAGCTCAACATGGAATATTCTTAACCTCCGTTTGGCCCTCATTATTTGAAGTTTTAGTTGTTGGAATAATTTTTTTTGAAAAATGTGTGGTTAAAAAAGAATATATTTTTTAAAAATTACATATAATATTATTTTATTGAAAAATGTGTGATTGATAAGAAAGAAAAAAAATGAATTATAATTTTAATGGTGTCGGACTTAATCTTGAAGGATAGAAATCTGAAAAAAGGAGTCTAATATGGGCCATTTAGGTTCTTCTTTTAAAAGGGTGGCCCACTTGCAAAGCTGTAATGCAAGTTGCATATATAACAAGTAATAATACGATTTGAAACGGCCATCCGAAATGTCAAACTCGATGGCTGCCTGTCATAATGGAAATTGGATGCAATTTACCTAACATGGAATAAT